TTAGACGAACTAGCTGTATCTGCCGACCGCATTCTAGAAATTACGAAACCTACTACCGAGGTATTTTCAGTCAAAGAAAAGCCTCACACGACTCAGAATGACATAACCGACTTATGTCACACACTCACGCGTTATCTTAGTCTTCGTACCGACCGTAAGAGATCGCGCACACCACGTAGAAGCATTTCTCGTAAGCGATCTGTCTCTAGACCACGAGAGACAGATAACCCCGACTGGTGCTGGTATCATAACCAGTATGGAAAGTTTTCCAGAAATTGCAGAAAACCCTGCAATTTTCCCAACACGAAACCGACTGATTCGAAAACAACTCGGGAAACTTCCAAGCCGGCACGCGTTAACGGCAACCGTAGCCGGCGAACAAAGCCGTCTGTTATTCGTCACAGATGTGACAACGAGAGTTCGCTACCTCGTCGACACTGGCGCAGAAGTTAGCGTTCTCCCAGCAAATCCTAACGACCGACTTCACGAATCGACCCTAAACTTACAGGCGGCAAACGGAAAACCGATCGCTACGTATGGCAAAAGGTACGTTTACCTTAACGTGGGTTTACGCAAACCCATCCACTGGATTTTCGTCGTTGCAGATGTTTCTATGCCAATCATTGGTATGGACCTTCTACAACACCACAATCTGATCATCGACACTCGCAAACGGAGGCTAGTAGACGGAAACACTAATTTGTCCGTTTGCGTAACTTCTTTTACTGGTTGTAGAGTATCCCCAGTCACAGTTAAACATATGATAGACCCACTCTATCAACCACTACTCGATAAGTACCCTGGGATACAACAAACTCAACCGAAACTACCGTGTGTAACCAGCAATGTTACACATCACATCACGACTACAGGACCACCTGTATTCTCTAAAGCACGACGACTAGCTCCTGAAAAGCTAAGGTTAGCGAAAAACGAATTCGATCACATGATGGACTTAGGAATCATACGACCGTCAAGTAGCCCATATGCATCTCCGTTGCACATGGTCCCTAAAAAGGACAGCAACGATTGGCGTCCAACTGGTGACTATCGGCGATTGAACGCGAAAACCATTCCCGATCGTTACCCGTTGCCTCACATTCACGATTTGACAGCTACCTTGAAAGGTACAACTGTCTTTTCGAAAATCGACTTGGTTAAAGCGTATAACCAAATCCCTATGGCTACTGACGACATACCGAAAACAGCTATCATAACTCCCTTCGGACTCTATGAATTTTTGCGAATGCCTTTCGGTCTAAGGAATGCTGCTCAAACATTCCAAAGATTCATAGACGACGTTTTTCGAGGTCTCAACTTCGTACACGCGTATGTTGACGACTGTCTAATCGCAAGTCCGGACAGAGAAACACATCTCAAGCATCTGGACCTTGTTTTCGAACGATTACAAAAACATGGCATAACTGTAAACGTTCAGAAATGCCAATTTGGAACCGACTCGTTAGACTTTCTGGGACACACTATCGATGCTCAAGGTATCCGACCCCTTAGAACCAAAGTGGCGGCCATTCTGGATTACCCAGAACCGACCACCGTCAAGCAATTACGCACGTTCAACGGCCTGGTAAGTTTCTATAGACGTTTCATACCCAAATGCGCATCACTTATGAAACCTCTGACCGACCAACTTCGTGGAAATGCGAAATCCATTAATTTGGACGACACCGCACGAAAAGCATTCTCCACAGTCAAGGAACTGATTGCTAAAGCAACAATGCTCGCACATCAGGACACCCGAGCACCCATTAGCATCGCAGTAGACGCATCCGACTCAGCAATCGGAGGAGTCTTACAACAATGGGTTAACAACTCCTGGCAACCCTTGGCATTTTTCTCTAGAAGGTTGCTAGACACCGAATCGAGGTACAGCACATTCGGTAGGGAACTCCTAGCTATGTATTGTGCTGTACGGCATTTCCAACACTATATCGAAGGCCGTGAATTCACTCTTTTCACGGACCATAAACCGCTCACTTTCTCGTTAAGCTCTCCTTCTGACAAGTACTCTCCCCGTGAGTCTCGACAACTGGACTACATTTCGCAGTTTACTTCAGATATTCAACACATCTCTGGAGCAAACAATGTAGTTGCAGACGCTTTATCTCGTATAACTTCCTTGAACAGTTTCCAAGGAATCGACCTTCTTAAACTCGCCGAGCTTCAAAAAGAAGACAGTGATCTTCAGCACGAGTTATCGTCCACAACACTTAAACTACGCATCAAACAGATGGGAACAGGTAAGGAAACCTTACTTTGTGACACATCTACAGGTAGGGATCGCCCAATCGTGCCGAAACATTATCGACGCAATGTCTTCAACACATTGCACAAACTTTCTCATCCAGGTGTTCGTGCAACCATCAAGCTTATAGCAGAACGATTTTGCTGGCCTGGCATGAATAAAGACGTGAGGGAGTGGGCACGCTCCTGTGTAAGCTGCCAAAAATCTAAGGTTATCAGACACAATAAATGTCCCTTAGGCTCGTTTAAAACTCCCGATGCTCGTTTCGACCATGTTCATCTGGATTTGGTAGGACCTTTACCAGATTCAAATGGATACTCTTATCTCTTAACCTGCGTAGACCGTTTCACTCGATGGCCAGAAGCAGTACCTATCAAGGACAGCACTGCTGAAACAGTGGCCCGCACATTCGTCGAACGATGGGTAGCAAACTTCGGTTGCCCTTCAACCATCACTACAGACCGCGGACGTCAGTTTGAATCTGATCTTTTCCGTCGTCTGACCACACTTTTAGGAATCACTCGCTTCCGAACGACCGCCTACCATCCACAAGCAAACGGGTTGGTAGAACGTTTTCACCGACAACTGAAAGCTTCGCTATCAGCTGCAAACGTTTCACAATGGACCGACGCTCTTCCACTCGTCTTACTAGGTATCCGCAATGCAGTGAAAGCTGACATTGGATACACTGCGGCTCAACTCGTTTATGGAACGACACTTCGACTTCCAGGAGAATTCGTGGATCCTTCGTGCTCTTCGATGAACATGGATCTAACCTCCTACACGAACAGGCTTACAAACGCAATGCGTTCAGTTAAACCTGCTTCCACTCGACCTCAATCAACTGATGTTTTCGTTCAACCTGACTTACGATATAGTACACACGTTTTCATTCGTCGAGACTCGCATCGACGACCATTCGAATCAGCATACGAAGGACCCTTCAAAGTTCTTCAACGTGAATCTAAGTACTATATAGTCGATAAGAACGGAACCAACGATAGCATCAGCATCGATCGCTTAAAAGCAGCGTATTTAGAAGGAAATCCTATCCACGTCGATTTTCCTTCGGTACAATCGAACGACACGACTCAGACACTAATAATACCTCATCCGACAACCAACACACGCGAAGATACTTCGACAGTATCCGAAAATAAACTTAAAACGACGCGTTCTGGAAGAAGGGTGAGATTTCCAGAACATTTAAACGACTATTGCACGTAAGGCACTTCTCGACATTTTATATTATTTTTTAAAAAAAAACAATTTTAATATGCTTATATATTTTTATTTCTATTAAAAAAAAACAAAAAAAAACAATTTTTTAACGCTATTACGTGCTCATGAGTTTATTTTCCATTTTTTTTCCGCCGACCTTGTGTTTTTACGCATATACGAGTGTATTTTCGACATGCACTTACATTTTCTTTTTTCTTTTCCAGGACGGCTGGAAAAGAACGATGACGTTTATGAGGATCCGAAATTTTCATTGTACATTTTCTTTTTTTACTATGTTGTACCTCCGTCCCATATAGTAAGGAAAGACGACCAGACGCTGCTAAATTTAGTAAGCTATCAGAAGAGTGTTTACCAACGACAAACTCGTTGGGTTTAAACTTCTGGCTGGCCACGTCTTAGGGTCGTCACTGCCCCACTAGGGGGGGAGTGATCTGTAGCGGTAAATAAATCCCTAAAATAAATAGCTCTGTAAGTTTTCGACATTGGATGCTGACCATATGTTTTAGTGGACTCATCTAGCTGAAGGCGCTCGGTCAGGCATCCGCACCAGATCACGTGTAGTAACGCCGTGCTCAACATCAACCACAATCGCTAGCCAGATTAGATCAGAGAATCCCGGTATATTGGTCATCGCCAAATATACTCTTCCGATCTCCTCGACTCTGTCTTTTGATTTCTCTTGGTGGGAACGAAATACATAAGAAGGTGTTACTGGTAGAAGCGTTGTCAAACACTGAATACCTGTGACATCATCAGTCTGTACACGATCTATCCTTACGGAATCCTGCCTGTTGGTCCCGAAGTTGGGCGTCTACGCAGTCCTTCATCCTGTTTAACAATACCCTGTTGAAGACTTTTCCCGGTATTGAGAGAAGAGTGATGCCCCTGTAGTTATCACACTTGCTGAGATCGCCTTTCTTCGGTATTTTGACCAGAAGTCCTTCTTTCCAGTCTGTTGGTACTTCTTCCTCATCCCAAATCTTATTGAAGAGAATGTGGAGTATCCTTGCAGTTGCCGCCACGTCTGCTTTTAGTGCCTCTGCTGGGATGTTGCCTGGTCCTGCTGCTTTGCCCCTCTTGATTTGCCTGATAGCCATGCTGATTTCTTCAATTGTTGGTGGGCCAACATTGATTGGGAGGTCCATGGGTGCTGCTTCGATGTTGGGTGGGTTCAGTGGAGCTGGTTGATTCAGGCGTTCTTTGAAGTGTTATATCCACCTGTTTCGTTGTTCTCCAATGTTGGCGATCACCTTGCTTTCCCTGCTTTTCACTGGTCGTCTTGGTTTACGATGATTTCCAGAGAGTTTCTTTGTCGTGCCATACAGTTGTCTCATGTTGCCTTCTATTGTAGCCTTTTCCGCCGTCGTTGCTAAATCTTCCACATGTTTACGTTTGTCAGTTCTGATGCTCCTCTTCACTTGTTTGTCTACTTCTGTGTATTAAGCTTGTGCCTTGGCTTTTTCTGCTCTTGTTCGGCTGGTATTGATCACTGCTTTCTTGTTCCTCCTTTCTTGAATCATATCCAGTGTATTAACTCTCGTGACACTACTATGTAAAAATTACTAATTGCTGCATAAGGTTTCCGGGTGGATTCATCATCAAAATTTACACGTTGTTCGGAAATTTTACTATTGATTATTTCCCGGAGAGTAGCTCTGATCATATTACCGGGTAAAACACTGAAGTTATTTCGAATGCAGCCGCTGCGACTACTCCAATTGTAATCGTTACATTTAATGTCTGCTTTATTACTGAGCAAACCACTTGAAAAAAACGGCAGTAAGCCGCTCTAAATCCAGCACTCTCACGGGAAAACAATAAGCGCTTAGGTGCTCAGTGGTCTTCGTGACCTAAAAAACCGAAGTTAGTAAAATTGTACATCAACACATATTTTTCTGCTTCTCCAGCGTTTAACGAGTCAATAGAACTTTTTAAACGACATTCGTCGGTCCAAAGACCTTCATAATCATGAAGATGGTCACTGGGAACCAAGTGACTAGACTCACTACACTGAACTGTGCAGAAGACTTATGATGCTCCACGAAGACCAATGAAATTTGCAACAGATCATCATAAACCCGAGGCAATTCTACGTACTACTGATTTAAAATGTTCTAAAATCACGCCACGTTAAAATCCTGTCATATTGGTTATATTCGTATTGTCAAACTTTATATGATTGATAAGGCAACACTTCAGTAACGGAGCGATCTTCGAATAATTTTCGCTGCTTTGTAAGTGATTTCCTACTTAGCAGGGTGGTTCTATCACATATGAGCATTTAGATAATCATTGTTTTGAAAAGTTTAAAAGCCGAATCATCTTATTTTTTGCATGGGTATTGTATGCTGTCTTGTTATATCTTTTAAATGCAATAATACGATATTGTATAGTAGAATCATCTTTATTTAGGCAGTACATTTCTCTTATACATTTTCTGCAGACTAAACGTCGAGATTTATCTCCGAGCCGTAAAGCTTCACTGGCACCTCCTGATATTATAATTTACAACATGGTCGAAGAAAAGTTCAAGGTTTTAACATTTAATTGCTGGTTTGTGAAGATTTCTGTAGTTGACCTTTTAGGGCCGTGTTTTTCCCGTCTCCGACTGTGAGGAAAGAAGACCGTGTTAACGCAATTGCCGCGAAGTTATCAGTTGGGGATTTCGACGTGATTTTACTTCAGGAGGTAGGTAGGTGTACTCGTTGAACTAGCTTTTGGCAGATTTGGCTGGAATCAGATTACAGAAAGCTCCGAAACATTCTGGACGAAAAGTATCCATACTCTAATTACTTTTATTGGTATGTATTCGATGGAGTCATTTAATTATTTCCTAGCAACCTTATAGGAACTGGTATGTGCATATTTTCAAAATGGACTATAGAATGTGTGTTCACACATCCCTTTACTGCTAACGGATATCCTCATCTTATTCACCAAGCTGATTACTATTGTGGCAAAGGTATTGGGTTAGCCAGGATCACAAGCAAAGAAGGATTTAGGATTAACTTTTATGTAACCCACGTAAGATTTTTCTCTCTTTAAAAATAGGTTTGATTAACTGGATTTTATTTGATAAAAAGTTGTTTGTAGATTTTGTTAAAAAGTACTCATATATTTAGATCTCTCAGAGTTTGTTGAACTTGTAATATTCCAAACTAATCAAGTTACAAAGCAGGCATATATTTCTGTTTTACCTGGGACGGTCGCTTAAGTATCAAGAAATTTATTAGTAGTATCCCCTTCTAATGCATCAAAACGATAAAGTTTGGTTTTGAATGGTCAGCAGTTTTTTAATACAATCAGTTCCAATTCTTTTTTGTTTCATAATTTTCAGAAAGTTGTGCCTTCGTTGCATTTCACACATTTTCCACTGCTTTCTAATGAAGCATTGTCCATTTCTTTATTTAATGAGTGTTCTATGGACATCTGCTTGTATGTAGAGAAGACGTACTGGAGCCTCGGGTCATTCTTGTCTATTTAGATTTTGCGACATCAGTCCTATAATTATACAGCTTTTGACTCATATAAAAAGTAGATCTTTGTGATAAGCTGTTTTCCCTTATTGCAATTGTGTTATCCAGTGTTTTTGATAATCCCCATTTAAACGTCGTTATTTTTAAATAGTTTAGTTTAATGCCTCCAAGTTTGAGCAAATATGAATTTATCATGGAATGGGCTGCTATGATTACAATAAGCTTGTTTACCAAAACCATTTCATTTTATTAAACAATACAGAATCATGCACATGTTCTTGAAATGTATGGATTGTGTAAGATCTGGCGAAACAACAGGGGCACTGAAACCAAAACATGGAAATTAGCGTTCTAGCTTTTACCTTGGTAGCTAAACGTAGACTTCAAGTTGCTATGACACTAATGGGAGACAGTTAGTAGGGTTACTGAATCTTTGAAATCATTCAAGATTTACCAAAGTTATTTTTTTTAGGGATAACACCAAACTTCGCTTCTCTTACTCAACGTTTTTGCAAATGATATTTCCCAACTAGTAACTTGATGAGGCATGTGTTAGCGGTAAAAGTGTGCATATCTCGGTGAGACTGTAAATTATGGAAGACCTTTGCGCGACGCTAAAGTGACCTTGAGAGTGTCCACCTAATAACGGACCAAATGAAGGTTATAAACCAGTGTGAGGATTAGGATTGGCAGTTGATGGCTGAAGTTAGGAATTAGATTTAGGATTTTCATCACGAACTGACATCAGCTTTAATGTCAAAACTCTATTTAGTCAAATGAATGAGTGAATTTCGCGCCGAAATCCAAGACCTATTATCTTATACCTGATTTGTTCGTTCATAAACTACAGTTTCGCTTATATCTCCTCATTAGTATAAGATCACGTATACTAAATTTTTCGATTGAGATCCTGAACCGATTGATGTTAGACCACCTTTGGAAACCTAGAAGCACTGGACGGCCGTCTCGTCCTATTGTGGGACTCCTCAGCAGTGCGCATCCACGATCCCGCTCGCGGGATTCGAACCCAGGGCCTTCGGTCTTGCGTGCGAACGCTCAACCTACTGGACAACTGAACCGGCATCCAGTGGTGACAGTGTATAACATCAACCAATCCACGAAATTGCGCGACTAACTTCCATTGTACTGAGGTAGATACCTGTCTCTACCCGACATAGATTAGCTCCACTGATCACGGCTTCTCACTAGAACTCCGAGAAGCTAGTCACTAGTGCGCACATGTTGATTACTAGTATAGAGGTTGTGGAGGAAGGTAGTCTAACATCAATCAGTTCATGATCTCAATCAAAAACTTAATAATCTCCACAACCCCTATACTAAATTTGTTTGTTTGATTGGTAGTTATTTTTAAAAATCTTCCTCAAACACAACATAGCTATCTAGGTTATTTAATATTTGATGGATACTGCTATAATCAGAAAAGCATCAAGTTTGCACGCGTCTCTTACTTAAGACAATTCTGTAGGAGGACTTGACTGGATGAGACAGATTAGTAGATGTTTTATCCCTCAGTCTTTTATATGAGTCAGTAATTGATTTCAGGTACGAATAGTCATTTTTAATTCCCACACTATGTAGAGTATTATATCGTTTATCTACTTAGGTAGAAACTAGTAGAAGGCGTTTTAAATCATTTAATAACCATAGTTTGCTCATAACTCGTTTGCGTAGTTATAGAATATTTATGATGCTTTAGGCATACAACATGAAAGGTATGTTTTCGTCTTATACGTTCATCCCCTGTTGACAACAATTTCCTGCAATGACAGTCTGAATAGACTACGCTGATTGATTATAATTAGTTGAACTTTAAAGCGATCAGTCCCTTTGATAAATTTTGATAGTGTAGTAAGAAGATGAAGATTATCAGAATTATGTGATATATTAGCGCAATACATTTCGAACAATCTGATCACACATATACTTGTTAAGAGCATTTATATATAAAATATAAAAGGTCAACTAGACTGGAAATGGAGTAAGAGGAGATAAGGATAATAATAAGAGAAATAATAATGTCAACACAATTCGAAACCTAATCATTCTGGATAATAAGTCAATATTACCAGGGTAGGTTTAAGGTAAGAACAAACTGTTTTTCGAACACACAAAGGGGGTTTGGCTAAGGCCTCAATAAACCTTAGTATACGCCCTTTTACACTTTTATACAAAACCACAAAAACCGAGTTTAGACCAATTTTATGGCCTGTTTCAATTATATATTTAGCAATAGACGATGATGGATGTTTATCCTCTGCTCTTATTGGGTCACTTGATTGTATTTGTTTCTGCAACCATTTCGGTACATGTTGACACTAATTTTGAGATCACGATTGCTCCTCCCTATGTATGTGTGACCAAATACACGTTTAAATTGGTAAACACAGATTGTTCAAAATGTATTGCGCTAATATATCACATAATTCTGATAATCTTCGTCTTCTTATTACATTATCGAAATTAGTTGAACATTGTGAAATTTGTCAAATTATTCTTAGCTTTGTGAGAAAACATAATTTGTCTGTTCTGTTTTACCCTAAAAAGAAATTTGAGGATTTTTGAGCCATCGAATGAGATTAGTAAAAACAGTTGGCTGAATACAGATTGGACCGAGATGGACATATTATGTTGTGTATGAATTAAATTCATTTACACGGTTTATATAAGAGCAATCAAAATTATGTTATGAATTTAAAAGTTTCACACATTAAAATAATTTTGATGAATAGCCTGGATATTCCTTAAGGCGAAGTATATAAATATAGAGGACTTGTTAGATTTTATATGGAGCATTCCTTATATGTCATTCCAATATAACGGTAAGGCAGTGAATCTCCTGTTAACGTAATGCATTGAGTATATGAAATAAAACCTGTCAATAGTTGTAGTTTATGCAGTATTATAAATAATGTGGAAAATATAGGATAGAGTAGTTGAAATTCTAATGATGTTTAGTAGTGGTATTTAAAAAAAGATTATGTGACATGAATAAAAAGTTTTGATTCTTCAAAACTGGTAGTTAATAGTTAACATGGGATCCAATTTTCTACATTGCATATTAGTACAAAACAGGAAATCAACAATATGTGAAGTAGAAGAGGTACAATAAAGTTAAACACATTAGAAATTTAAATATAGAAAATACAGTTTAAACAATGAGTGAAGAATAAAAACTATGAGTTAATAGTGACCGTTTATTTCAAATAATCTGTCAAAATTAAAAGAACGACGTTTACAGTTTGTATGCCTACATCGATTAAGCGCTATTAATGCTCTGCTTTGTTTATTTCTATGTTTGTAATTTATTCAAAATAATATCATAGAATCTTCAGTGGTCTCGATTTCTTTTTATAATAAAAATAATTTATTATTCAAAAGTTATATTTAGTGGTACGGACAACACCTACCAAGAATTTGGATAAATTATCTTTCCTGAGATCTTTTAATAAAATTTTTATTAAAGTATATGTTTAATTAATGACAAAGTGGTATTTATGGTACTCATAAGCCACCTACAGTTTGGCATACTCTAATTCAAACTGACCAAGCCAAAATAGACAGAACTTGTGACCTAGTTGGATGTTGTATGTTTCAGCCATCAGACTATACCTTAGTGTCTATTCATTTTGTCCTCTTTTATGAGAATAAATAAAACAAATAGCGAACACTAATATAGCTACCTTAATATTCATAAATTTAGGTGCGAATTCAGGTTTAGTTAAGTACAGCAGTACTCATCGAACTCTAAATGTTTTGTAATGATGATAATTTGTTTGGTAACAAAGCTAAGTTATTGTGTTTGAGTTTAGAGATGTTTACGGTTTTCGTGCTCACCTTGAAATCAGAGGTCTGCAAGTGTAATTCTCACAAAAGTCATAGGCTTAGAGACTATATAATAAAAAGTTAGGCTACTCCTTACTTTTTCGTTATTTAGCAGCTCTTTGACTGCCATTAATTTACCGCAAAAACTTGTACCTTTAAATTGGTATATTCAAATTTAACTTTCTAAACCTTTCATAAGATATGTTTTGATTGAACATATTTTAATCAAGACATTCAAAATATCATTCCTTTGGTAAGTGAAATGATTACTGGATTATGTAATACATCCCTTAGAATCCATGCACGCAAGCGAATATATAAAAGCTCTGCAATACCTTACTTAGCAAATAAATTATGACGAACAGGTTGTAAGAGCTGACGTAGTCAATAACGTGTATTCCTAAACATGATTCTAAGTAAAAGTTATACAGATTTTAATCTCATTAAAAGATATTTCATTTAGTTCCATTTAGTTTATTAACCTAGTTTATGTCTGTATTCAGGTGTCGTTTTTTTTTGGAAAGGAAACTTGTTGGATTGTAACTTTAGAATTGTATTAAATGTAGAATATTGAATAAAGCCATTAATAATAACAATATTTTTGTGATATCTCAATGAGTAGAAAATTGTACTTCTGACGTTTCATAACTTAATTCAAGTTACTTCTTCAAAGTAAATAAATAGACGAAATAAAATTAACACAAGTTTAAACGATACCAATAATAATAATATTTTTATTCTAAATAAACTTCGATAAGTGTTAAATTTTTCTAAACATTTTTCCTTTTTTACTCGCATAATTAAAATAATATTAGTATCTATTCAGATAATCAATATATCATATGACTGATGAGCTATATAATAATGATAATAATGACACTTTTCTAAAGCAATCATTTTTTGTGTGATTTATACAATCATAATTTTACCAACGAACTTGCCAGGTATGTATATATCTATTATTTACAGTGTAATTTTATTTAATAGATTAATATGATCTTAAGCCCCAAGTGAATAGATTAATTTAGCACTATTTTGTCTCTAACATATAATACTGATGTATAAAGTCTGTGCTTAACAATGTTTGACCGGTTGAACTCCACTGGTCACTGCTTCTCACTAGAACCCTAGGAAATACCTCTTGAAGCCAGTCACTAGTGAGCGTATGATGATTATTATCAGAAAGGGGTTTTATGGATAGTGTGGTATTCTAATAGTTGAGTTTATGAGTCAATTGAAGCTAGACCACCATGGTCTGTTGTGAGATAGTAACTCACTGAAGACTATGGTGGACAGTGGCTCAATTTCGTAGGTTGGTTGAAGTTAGACATTAACACCGTTGGATGCCGGCTCAGTGGTCTAGAGGTTAGGCGTTTGCTCGCGAGACCGATAGGTCCTGAGTTTGAATCCCGCGGGACAGGATCGTGGATGCACACTACTGAAGAGTCCCACAATAGAACAAAACGACCGTCCAGTGCTTCCAGGTTTTTCATGGTAGTCTAGCTTCAATAAACTCATGACCTCAACTATTAAATTACTATAGTATTCACAAAACCTCTTTCTGATATCATTCTTTAAGCATTCATGAATTAATTATCAATTGATTTGAAGGATTTGTGTTCTGTAATAACCACTTGTCTAATGAGATTTTTAAGATTTACTATTCAAATAAAAAGCTTTTGACATATTTTTATCTTCTCCATTGTTATACTACTGAAATAAGGAGAGAATTGTTCTTCAATAATTTTGATAGTCGTGGATTTTGTATACTGGCAAAAGGCTATATTTTTTCCGTAATTTCAGTCCTACTGCAAAAAAATGAGGTTTGCATCACAATATTTTGGATGCTGTAATCACATGACCCATTTAATGGGTTAAAACAGTTAAAAATTAAAAAGAAATTATAAACTTTGTTGCTACAATTTGTGTTATTTTTGAAAATTATGATGATATCTGAACTCATACTAGTGGTACCTAGATATTAAGGTTAATAATTATACTGGTGTTTATGGATTTCGGAAAAATGTTCATGATGTAATCACTAAAGCTGGTGAGTGAATATTTTCAGTCAAGGAACAACAGAAAAAAGGAAATTCTAGTGTTCACTGAGTGAATGTACATTTGAATTTTTACTTAGAAATAACTGGTAGAGATTGAGTCAAAATTTTTATTTAAACACAGTTAAAGTATGTTGTCAGTAGTGTTGAAATAAAACCTAAATTTGTAGTCAAGCAAAGTAAATCAGTCGAGAATTCCATTAGAACTAATCTGAAAAAGCATCTCAGATACTTTTTGAGCATTAAAAAAACTTCATTTATTCAAGTTTAATATTCTGATCAGAGTGACAATAAGTTGTTAATAGCTGAATTTCATCAGACTAGCGTGTTAATTAACCTTAAGTCATATGGGAATTTATTGACTCTTTGGTTCATATGTTCCGCTCTGTTTTTAGACTAAAAGTCTTAAATGACAGATCTACTTTTATCTTAAAATATCTTACTTTTTTAAGTTTTGCAAGTTTAAATATGACCTGTTTGTTTGTTTCTATCAACAAACTGAACTGATTTACGCTTATATAGTGTCATAATATTCAGTACATTCGACTAAATCATATTCTTTATTTAGACGATACAAGCCCTTACGATAGTTTCGCGAAGATATACTTTCCTACTTATTTCAGGTTTTAGTTTAAACGAAAATGGAAGGAAACCTTAGAGACTGGGATGTATTAATTAGTTCTTTAGTGGCTCGAGATCTGACTTGAGGTAGATTGTTTGCTGCTTGTCGTCTAAATATAGATGTCGTCAATCCTCGTATATAATCATCGACTTAACTGACATTAATGAGTAACGGAATTAAATAAGTGCAATACGGGAATGAATTTTTGAATACGCATATTTCGTACAATCGTTGATCGGAAGGCGAAGCAAAACGAAATGACACCAGGTGGAAAAGGCGAGTGATCCAACTCCATTTAGACATATGTGGATCGATATTTATAGTCAGACCAAAAATAAGACATGTGATAAGTAAGGTAAGTAATTAGCACACATATGACCATATAAAAAACAGTCCAGATAAGTGAATAAGTGACAGGTTAAAAATATGGCTTGAGAAGAGTGAATAGATTGATATGTCCAGAGACTAGAACAACCTATGTGGACTTCGCATAGTACTAGCCTATACCATTCTTTTATTTGAATAGCCTATCGCAATTATCTGACTTGAAATACTCACATCTTTGATTTATCGACATTGTTAAGTTATGTATAAAAGTTAGTGACCACTTATTAATAATGGTAACTACTTGAACTAATAAATTTGTAAATAGAAGAATGTGATCAATCATAGTATTTTTTTAGAATTTGTACTCAAGCCTTTTAATTCAAATCCTATTTTCTTGCAAATGAACTAATCAATGATCCCATGATAATTTCTACTTGGTTGTATACATATATATACTCATATTCAGTTGCTCAATTTTCTTTTTTTTTTCGAAATGTTATTTTTTCTGTTTCCATTCAAGTTAATTGCTCGTTATGAATTAGATCGTATGTTAGATAAATATAATGGACATCGAATATCTCAATTAGTTGAAATAATGGAATTTGTTCGCATGACATCCACTGGTTCTGATGCAATTATAATTACTGGAGATTTCAACTTGGAATCGAATACTTCAGCTATTGAATTGTTTAGTACTTCATTAAAATTATCTGATGCATGGCTTAATAATGTAAGTTTGGAATATATATATGCTGTCTTTTTTCTTCAAAAAGTGTTTTCACATGTTTCATTACTTGGTAATTATGAAAACCTCCTAGTTATTGTTCTTAATAGCGATTAACCTTAAGACAGATTTTTTGAACTATCAGTTGAATGTTGGGATTCATGGTGCTAACTTATGAATAAGTCATTTACTGATGGAATTTCTTGATCACCGCTCTGTTTGACGAATCGATTGAAATTAAAATGTAGATAATTTCATTTCGATTAAGTGATTTTAAAGTATTGCACTTGCTGTCTAACTAAGATTATAAATTTTTAAGTGGGTATTACTAAGAAATTCTAAACGTCGAACAAAACAGTTATCCAGTTTTCTCTAGTCTCCAACAGTTCTTGAACTACTGTTAGTTTATGATTATGGCTAAATTTAAATAATCCATTAAATTAATTAAAGTAAATATAAGTGGAAAAAGTTAATCAACTTAAAGAGAGCAAGAACAAAAATTGGTGCAGAATAATATGAATTCATTTTATTTCGTTAGGTTCTCATCAGCTGCTTACAACCTAAATTATTTAAAATTCAACATTATTACAGATATTGACATATTTATATATAAGAGTGTGATTAAGGATCAATACATGTGTATGATGATGTAGCAAAGATTCAGATAGAGTTAATGAGCTCATAAAATGTTTGATTCGAATAAATAAATAAAGTTAGAGAGGGAAAGTTCTGGAACATTGAAATAGTGATTAGAACTCATGAAAATTGATTAATGGTAATAAAGAAAATATGAATTGAAATCAATCAGTTATGTATGATGTAATTTATATTTCAGAAAGAGTTGCAATAATGACGTAATAAATAAATAAATAGGAGCAAATTAATAGAAAGAGTGGGGGTTATTGTTACCAGGGTAAAGAAAGATTTATTACTGTCTCTTTTTGTATACATAGATCTGGTTTTAAACGTTTGATTGCTAACGCTTCAGCGAATTTCAAAAGGTTCGAGTTTGATTGTTTGTTAATCACCTTGAAGGACTTCAGTATATCAGCTTTATGTCCTGTATCAAGGAGATGTCTGGCGATAGCACTGTTGAATGCGTTCAATCCATTTAACCTTAAACTTTTCGGAATATGTTCTTTGAATCGGACGTAGGCTCTCCTTTCTGTTCTACCAATGTAACTGCTTTGGCAGGTACATGTAAATTTGTATACACAGTTGGTGGTAACATGAAAGGGATACCTATCGACCTTTGATTGTGTCAAAGAGCATGTTGTTTTGGACAGGACAATCAATTTCGCTGCAGGATAAGTTCTTGTCAGTGCAGTTTTTAGTCTCATATTGATTGATCCTGTGACATCGTCACCTTTGAATTGAAGTTGAATAAAAATAGGCTTTTTATTTGCTGTAATTTCTTTCGGCTTTTTTAACTTCACATTTGCCGTATTTCTCAATAAATTTCAGTGGGTATCCGTTATTCTTTAAACATTTTTTAACATTCATAACTTCCTCTTCTAGTGTATCGGAAGTACATATTCTTTCTGTTCTGTAAAACAGTGTTTTGACCAGTGCCTTTTTGTAACTGATTGGACAAAAGCTATTGAAATTAAGATAACTACCATTCCATGTGTCTTTCTTATAAACTGAACGTTGAACTGTACCATCTTTTCTTCTTTTCATCGCGATATCGAGAAAATGGAACTTGTTTTCTTTTTCATGTTCCATAGTGAAATGGATATTCGGATGTGCTTCATTGAAAAACTCTAGCAGATTTATTGCATGTTGTTTATTATTACATACGATGAAGGTATCATCAACATATCTCGAATAATACGTCATTTCATCAATCGCTCGTTTGAGTTTGGTTCTTTCGAGGTTAGCCATGAAAATATCTGCTAGGATAGGACCTAACGGACTTCCCATCGCTACACCATCGATTTGTTTGTATATGATATCGTTGAACTGGAACTGAACATCTTTTGTACAAATGAGTAATAGTCGTTTGAATTCTGGTACTGGTAGAGGTAGGATGTCAGAATGTTGACAAATTATGTCTATGGTCTCAAGAAGTGGTATTTTTGTAAACAAAGATGTTACATCAAAAGAAACCATAAACTTACCGGCAATATTTATGTGATTCATGCTGTCAGCAAATACAAATGAATCCTTTAGTGTATAGGTGGCTAATCGTTGACGCACTGGTTCTAACTTATCTGCCAACCATCGTGCAACTTTGTGGTATGGTGAATTGATCATTGACAAAATAGGTCTAAGAGGATAACCTTGTTTATGTATTTTCGGTAATCCATACATGTGGGGCAAACGAGACCCACGAGGTCGTAGATTATTGTAAGTAGAGTTATCGATCATTTTCTTTTTCAGAAGATCTCTGAGTACTTTGGTGATTCTTTTCTCAATGGAATCAGTTAAGTCTTTGTTACTTTTCTCTAACTTGAATCTCATATGGTCATTCAAGATGGACTTCATCTTAAAAACATAATCTGTTTTGTTCATTAGAACAACACTTGAGCCTTTGTCTGACCGTAATATCATTATATCGTCATTTCGTTTAATATTTCGTAATGCTGTTTGGTGGTCTTTGGATAAAAGCTTAGACTGTGGTGCGGGTGAAACAAGATATTGGTTTGCAATATCGACTAGTTTAGATTTAAACCAGCCTTTCTTTTCTTCACTAACTGGGTGCAACTCTTTAATTTGATCAAATAAATTCTCAAATTGAGTTTCTGTGTCGATTCTGTCGGCATGTGTTTTGGGGATATGAAATTTAAATCCAAGTGACAAGGCTTCTGTTTCTGTCTGATTTAACTTCATTGTTGATAGATTATAGAGAAACTTTTCGGGGTTTTCCGGAAAGCCAAAACATAATTGTTCCTTTGACAGAGTCTTTGACAAAGTTACGTGGAAATTCTTGCATATTTTGCTTTGCAGATCTTGTATAAAGTTGATAAATTTTATGCGACATACGATACTTAGATTGTCGATTAATTCATTAAAGGCATTAGTTTCTGCCCTCAAACGTTCAATCAGTAACTTTGTTGATTCAATGTGAGATTTTGTGATGCGTCGAAGATTTTTAAGAGAAGGCGGAAGTTTAAATGAGCGTAAGGACTTTAAGAACTGACGTGGGAAACGGCATGACTTGAGACATTCATCAAAAAACTTTAGTCGAGTTATTTCTCTCGATATTCTGCAGCGTATTGTCACCAGGCGATTCAGTGACTTGAATGACTGTGCAGGGAGACGCATTTTGAGGAATTTCATACACATAGTTCCCTTTATTATTTTAAAGAGAGCAAGAACAAAAATTGGTGCAGAATAATATGAATTCATTTTATTTCGTTAGGTTCTCATCAGCTGCTTACAACCTAAATTATTTAAAATTCAACATTATTACAGATATTGACATATTTATATATAAGAGTGTGATTAAGGATCAATACATGTGTATGATGATGTAGCAAAGATTCAGATAGAGTTAATGAGCTCATAAAATGTTTGATTCGAATAAATAAATAAAGTTAGAGAGGGAAAGTTCTGGAACATTGAAATAGTGATTAGAACTCATGAAAATTGATTAATGGTAATAAAGAAAATATGAATTGAAATCAATCAGTTATGTATGATGTAATTTATATTTCAGAAAGAGTTGCAATAATGACGTAATAAATAAATAAATAGGAGCAAATTAATAGAAAGAGTGGGGGTTATTGTTACCAGGGTAAAGAAAGATTTATTACTGTCTCTTTTTGTATACATAGATCTGGTTTTAAACGTTTGATTGCTAACGCTTCAGCGAATTTCAAAAGGTTCGAGTTTGATTGTTTGTTAATCACCTTGAAGGACTTCAGTATATCAGCTTTATGTCCTGTATCAAGGAGATGTCTGGCGATAGCACTGTTGAATGCGTTCAATCCATTTAACCTTAAACTTTTCGGAATATGTTCTTTGAATCGGACGTAGGCTCTCCTTTCTGTTCTACCAATGTAACTGCTTTGGCAGGTACATGTAAATTTGTATACACAGTTGGTGGTAACATGAAAGGGATACCTATCGACCTTTGATTGTGTCAAAGAGCATGTTGTTTTGGACAGGACAATCAATTTCGCTGCAGGATAAGTTCTTGTCAGTGCAGTTTTTAGTCTCATATTGATTGATCCTGTGACATCGTCACCTTTGAATTGAAGTTGAATAAAAATAGGCTTTTTATTTGCTGTAATTTCTTTCGGCTTTTTTAACTTCACATTTGCCGTATTTCTCAATAAATTTCAGTGGGTATCCGTTATTCTTTAAACATTTTTTAACATTCATAACTTCCTCTTCTAGTGTATCGGAAGTACATATTCTTTCTGTTCTGTAAAACAGTGTTTTGACCAGTGCCTTTTTGTAACTGATTGGACAAAAGCTATTGAAATTAAGATAACTACCATTCCATGTGTCTTTCTTATAAACTGAACGTTGAACTGTACCATCTTTTCTTCTTTTCATCGCGATATCGAGAAAATGGAACTTGTTTTCTTTTTCATGTTCCATAGTGAAATGGATATTCGGATGTGCTTCATTGAAAAACTCTAGCAGATTTATTGCATGTTGTTTATTATTACATACGATGAAGGTATCATCAACATATCTCGAATAATACGTCATTTCATCAATCGCTCGTTTGAGTTTGGTTCTTTCGAGGTTAGCCATGAAAATATCTGCTAGGATAGGACCTAACGGACTTCCCATCGCTACACCATCGATTTGTTTGTATATGATATCGTTGAACTGGAACTGAACATCTTTTGTACAAATGAGTAATAGTCGTTTGAATTCTGGTACTGGTAGAGGTAGGATGTCAGAATGTTGACAAATTATGTCTATGGTCTCAAGAAGTGGTATTTTTGTAAACAAAGATGTTACATCAAAAGAAACCATAAACTTACCGGCAATATTTATGTGATTCATGCTGTCAGCAAATACAAATGAATCCTTTAGTGTATAGG